CCCCAAAACCCCAAAACCCCAAAACCCCAATTTTTATAAAATAAATTTAAAATGTCATTTCGGTCTGGAAACCCTTCTTGTTACTCTAAAACCTTTACTCCTGATCCTTTCCAGGGCTCTGGTCCAACTGCTCAAAGGAGGTAATTCTCTTTTAACTCTTTTAGTTCAAAAGTTGTTTCAAGTCATATGAATAAGAGTTGTGAAATAGGCTTGAATACAGTCAAGCATGCTTCAACTCGCTGGAATAGATCAGTGAGACCAAGAGTTTCAGGGAGACCTGGAGACCAATCCTCCAACCATAGAGGTACATCAAGGACAGGGTTAGGCATGGTTTAGTTTATTTTAGATAGGATTTAAGGATCTTGGATGCTCTGTTATAGACTAATTCAAATCTTCATTATAATCCTTAAATTTCATTTTACTTAAAAACTTTCTTAAAACCCAGTTTTATGAACTAATTTTATAGAAAACTTCTGTTGTAAGCCGAGAAGAGCCACTACAAGACTAAAAACAACAGGTGGTTGGTTTCAAAAGAACATTGAGAGTAAGATTTTTACCTTAAAGTCCCCAAAATAACCTTCTAAGCTCTCTATTTCTTATGTCTAATCTCTGTTCCTAGCCCAGCAGAGATCAGACTTGAGTAGTTCCGCCTGAGACTACTCTTCAGTGTATCTGAACGACCATATGACTTGTGAAGGTAATATAGATGTAGGCTTATTCTTCTAGCCAATAAAGCCAAGAAGGTCAACCTCAAGTACCAAGTCGAGAAATCATTCCTCATATGTCGTCTTTGATCAGTCGGGCTCTAATACTAGCACATTAAAGGATGATACAGTGATGTTTAGCACGAAGGTCATCAAGCCTAAAATCATCACTAAAATAGCTAATCATTCATTTTACAACCAGAAGTCAAATGTAAGGGTTTAAGATGATATTTAATAGAAGCAGAAGAGCCGAAGGCAAACACCTAAACTGTGTCTATTTGATCTGTCACTGGCCATGCCTTCAAAGAGAGTCCCCACAGCTCCAAAGTTTGGGCAGATTACTCTGAAAAGGTTTAGAAATAAGACTATTCAGATTGCTAAAGAGCCAAAGAAAGCTAGTCCGCAAAGGCCTTTTATATTGAGTTCGAGGAAGACATCTCAGTGAAAACAAGTGAATAATTCACGGAAGAAAACCCCTACGCCTACAGTCAAGCTGAATGTATCTATTCCTCATGCGTCAAAGATCAGTCCTAAGCCTACTAAAGAGTTAAACCAAGTTTTAACACAGCTATACAAAAGTAATCGCTTAAGAGTGACTTTTAGAAGTGCCAAATCTGACTTTCCCTCATCCAAATTGTACTCAGAACTCAGATGTCGAGACCTCTAAATGACAAGACGAAGCTGGGCTGTCATTAGAGAGGTATCCTGATAGTCTAACTAATAATCCTAAGACCTTCTCTTCCTTCATAAGTTTCATCAGGACAAAGATGAATGAGCCTAGTTGGGTCTACAAGAACAAGTCTGCGTTCAGTAAAAGAAGGACTGGTGCCAGGTAATCTAGCCTTGATGAATAACGAGGAAGCTAGGAATTAAGTCCTAGATAGGTTGTTTTTAGATTCTAGGCTAGTTTTGAGCTGTTTAAGAGTATGTATTTATAGGACTCCATTTAAGATGAGGAATTCTTTTGGATTAAAGCACAGGGCTCCATCGGTATTGGGAAGAGGACGATGTAAGGGAAGAAAAGTGAGAAAGAATGATCGGGTTACAAATGATGAAGGATTAAGAACTTAGTGGTTTTTGGAAATCAAAATTTTAAGTTGTATGAGTTTATTCTTGGTTATTTTAGTTTGGATGTAAATTTTTGGATTAAAATTTTAATTAATCGAAGATATTTTAGGTTCAAGATTTTTTAATCAAAAAGGGGTTTTGGGGTTTTGGGGTTTTGGGGTTTTGGGG